GTCTATTTTTGTTATTGTTTATGTTAAAAAATATTGTGTTGATAAGCCTGAGTGGTCTGCTGACTGACCTTTATATTTGTTCAAATAATTGTTATGGGCAGGTTACAATATAAAAATGTTTGTCATAATCATGTCTTGTGATTATTTGACAGGAGTTTTACTTTTAAACTGTAAGTGTATTTAATTTAGTTATTTTAGTTATGATAGTTTAGTTATAATGCAAATACAATACAAATTATATCAAGATATAGATTAGAATAATTATCATTTTGATCCATACATTGGTAATATGTGACTGGGCCTCGTGTCACTTTATGTTCAATAAATCAGGCCCCGAGGTCAAAAAGGTTAAGAACCCCTGGTCTAGAAGACATAACACGGAGGAGAGGCCCTACTCCCAGTTCCCAACGACTCTTACCTCTAAGGCTGATACTGGACACCCTACAGCTGCTGGGACACAGGATCCTGTTCGTTCAGTCCTGATCCATAACACATGACCATAGGTGGGAGTTTAACAGTAGACGGACCAGTTAATCTAGAGCTTTGCCTTACAGCTCAGTTCCTTCTTCACCTTGACAGACCAAAGCAACTCCCTCATTACTGCAGACAATAACTTCTTCTGTCTATCATTTACTATCATTTGTAAAAAGCAGAGACAAGCCCTTCAAAATGACCCCAGCACCCCACACTACCTACCCTCTTACAATACACTTCTCTGAGTTAATGACACAAAAAGCTGGTGTTGTACTTCTACTCACTGAACTGGGTGGTGACTTGTTTGTTAGAGAACAGCTTGTCAGGGTTCACTGTTCTCTTGAAGTGCTTCTCCAGGATGGTCAGGATGGTTGCCTCTTCCTCCATCTTTCTCACACGTCCTGCCAGCAGCATATAACCTGAGAATTGAGATTTCAGTCAAAACACAGATGAGGGCTTCTGTCAAGTTGATTCAGACCAATATACAATCTTTGTTTCATCTAAAAAAAAACCTTGACAAAGTATTTACAATTCAATTGTGTGAGAGTTAGGAGAGATCATATTTCTCCATTAGTTTACAGTCAAATTCAGAACAGAATTTAAAATATTACTCCTAACATACAAAGCTCTTAACAACCAAGCTCCATCATATATTAAACATCTTATTGTTCCATACTTTTTTAACAGAGCACTTCGCTCTCAGACTGCAGGTTTATTTGTGGTTCCTCGAGTTTCTAAAAGTACTATTAATCACATTGAAAACCTAAATAAATATGGTATTAGAGGACCTGCATTACCGAGGGTATCTAGTTATTTGGAAGACAGAAAACAATTTGTAGAAATATGTAAGATCTAAGTTTTGTAACATCTCATGTGGAGTGCCGCAGGGTTCCATTCTCGGACCTAAGTTATTTATTTTGTATGAGAACGATTTGGTCAATGTGTCGGGTCATTTTGGGTGTGTCCTATTTGCTGATGATACAACATTCTTTTGTTCCGGTAAAGATATAGAACAAATGATGGAGATGGTACAGACAGAATTTGTGAAAATACAAAGTTGGTGTCAACTAAATAAATTATCATTAAACTTGGATAAGACAAATTATATGATTTTCAATAATAGTAAGAGAACTATAGATGTTTCATTTAAAATTGATGATGTTGAGATCTGTAGAGTCAGTGAAGTTCTAGGTGTCATTATTGATGAAAAACTAACATGGAAAAATCATATAAATGGTTTAAAAACAAAAATAGCCAAATCTATTGGAGTACTGTACAAAGTAAGAGAACTGTTCAGTGATAAAGCACTATTTATGTTATATAACGCTATAATTGTTCCACATTTAATTTACTGTATTGAAGTCTGGGGTAAAGCTTGTTTTATGAATTGAAATTATTAAAATTCTATGATTTGGTCGATTATAATATTTTACTGTTAATGTACAGAGCTCATAAAGATGTGTTACCTTCCAACGTTCAAGTAAATTTTGTTAAAAGAGAGAGCTGTTATTATCTTAAGGGAATCGAAATGTTTGTGAAACCCTGGTTTTGTACGAGCCTGAAGGAGCGATCCACTTTAATCCAGGGAATAAGATTATGGAACAGCATGGAAGATGAGGTTAAAAATGCCAGAACCTTGTATATATTGAAGAGAATGATAAAAACTAGTATTCTGAAGAAATATAGACAATTATAAGTGAATTCATGCAAATTGTTGTTTGAGTTGGTGTCTTAATTTTTGTTTTTAGTTTTTTGTGTGTTTTCAGTTGTTTTGATTTTGTTGTATTTTTACTTTTCTTTTGAACATATTTTGGGTATAAAAAGGGGCAGATATAAGATTTATTTTTCTGCTGCTGCCTTTCATTTTATTTGACTTTATTTTGATTGCATGTTTTTTGTTCTTTGTTATTTTATGTTACAAATGAAATGAATAAATTTCTAAAATAAAAAAAGTAGAATGGGAGGCAGAGCTTTCAGTTATCAAGCCCCTCTCTTGTTTAACCAATGTCCAGTTTCTGTCTGTGAGGTCGACACTCTACTTTTAAGATTAGACTGAAGACTTTAATTGCTGATAAATCAAAGCAAAGAAAGAGATTGCTTCCTGAGCTATCCCTTAGTTTTGTTGCTACAGGGTTCGATTGTTGGAGGACAAATGGACCTGATTTCATCAACCTGCTGATGTCTTTACTTGCTCTCCTCTCCATGTTTATACATGTGATCACTGCAGCCATTAACCTGCGCTTTTGTTTTTCTTACCATCATCTGCCAAATGTTGCAGCCAGTCCTGAGAGGCCTCTGTCTGCTCCTCTAGCCTGTAGCGCTCTGCCCAGCGGAACAGATCTCTTAACGTGATGAAGCCATGTTTACCCGCAAACACAGAAGATCCTTTGCGTAATGACTGGATAGATGGAGGGAGGCATTTTAAAAACATTTGGATTTCCCACAACAGGTAGCTCATTTTAACAGAGATACAGAAACTGCACAGCTACCTGAAGGTCCAGCATGACTTTGACCAGCTTAGTGCAGTAAGATGGAGGCAAGCTGCACCTCTGATGAAGAATGATCTCCAGCTCATCACTGGGCAGCTCATCAAAATGGAGCTCCACAAAGCGGTTCCTAAAAGCTCTGGACAGAACCTGGATAGGAGAAGAAAAGTAAAGACTTTCGTTTCAAATAGCACAAGAGAAAGAAGCCAATTACTTAAAAATTAAATATCAAAAATTAGCATGGATCAGATAAAAAAGTAACATATTCGACACGTTACTGAAGATGACAGCTCCACAACAGTTGGGATCAAATAATTCTTGTAATCCTCAGAGAGAGCCTAAAAGTTTAAAGCTTCAAGAGTTGATCCCCAGCAGTGCTTTTAACAGAAAGGTGAGAGGTTTGTAACTGTGTCTCTTCGTAATCTAATATAGTTTTTAAAGGTTTCTTTTATGCTGATGTATATCAAGCTATATTTTGCACGTTCCTGGGTTTTTATTTGCACGTTCCTGGGTTTGATTCGTTTCCCATCCAAGTCATCTCAACTTTGCCATGCTTCTCCTCCTGCATACTTTGTCCTAGAGCTGCCATTGTAATTTATATCTGTAAAGCTCCTGTGCCAAATGATGGCTATGCCTTTTGGTGCCTGTAAAACTTATAGTTTATGAAATATTAATGTTTAATGAATTATAATGGCAGTCACTGGAGCCTTTATTGGTCCAATACTGCCCCATGCTGTACTCACTTGGTACTGCACCATAGTTTAATATTTCAACTCAGTACTTCAGTGTTTACAGTACTAATATGATTGTATTTTGATGTTTTACTATAATATTGTCTTAATACTGCTCTATTTTTGTAATATTATGCAGTTTAGTGTCAATAATTGTATTGGCAAGGTAAACTCTTTCTGCATACATACAATCCAAGCCCTGGGGTTGTCCTCTGCCACAGCTTCTATAGTGTCATGGTGAACACTGTGGGATTTCATTCAGGAGATCAGGGCTCAATCCCAGCTACGAACAAACTGTTTCAGTAAAACTACATAATTTCAGTTTGTTATATTGTCGCACAATTACCCTAATTACAAACACCTGCTGACTTGGCAGGTGTTTGACTGATAATAATTAGAAAACACATTTGAACTTGGTCACACTTCATTCTGCAAGTCCAACGCTGCAGGCAAAGCCATGCTGCAATGACATGCTACATGGCAATGCACACTTGTTTTTACATTGTAAAAAAACATGTCTAGTTGTTTTTAGTGGTTTGTTGTTTCTGGAACTGGTTCTTGACCAGCACTCCCTTGAAAAGGGAGATTTTATAATTCTTGGAATATACTTGCAATAAAACTAAATTTAAAAAAAGGGGTTGGTCTCAACTTTCTATTTTCAAAATGACGTACCTTTCTTCCACCGTAAAGACCAGGAGGATTCTGAGTAGCAAACAGCATGAATCTTGGATGAGCCTTGATGACCTCCTGAGTCTCAGTTACAAACAGCTCCCTGTTGTCATCCAGGAGTCGATTGAGAGCTTCCAGGACATCAGTAGGGGCAAGGTTGAGCTCATCCAGAATGATCCAGTAACCTTTCCTCATAGCATCAATCAGAACACCTACAGAACACAAAGAGTGCATTTTAGAACTGAAGAGGAAACAAAGTCCCACAAATGAGGATGGGCGATATATTCACACAGGTGACGGTCAGACGATTTTGTGGGCAAAGCAATGTAAACATGCACGGACCGATTTGCCAATTTTACAACCCAAATGTCCAATGCAAAAAAAAAATTTGATGAACAAACAAAAAGAAAAAAGAAAAATGGCTAAGTTTGAGTAAATAAATCAGCCCTGCACTTGGAGGCATGCTTTGTTTGCAGATGGAAGGCATCACTAGCTGCGTTCCCATTACAAATGTGTGCAAAACTTTGTCGATATTCTGTTAATGTCGAACAACACAGTTTTGTAACTGCGGTGTTTCCATTAAGTAAGAAATACTGTTAAAGTCACGCATGAATACGTTTGTTCTCGCGATAAGTCATTACAAACATGGCAGCGATGGATGTAAACACATAGCATGTTGTTACCACAACACTAGCGCTCATCATCAGGAGACGTCGGCGTCTTTTATCGAGGCTTTCCAGAGACAAGTCCCTACTTGGGAGCGGCTACGTATGCTGTGTTTTTGGGAAATTGTAGTCGGTGAGTTTACTATTTTACTATTTACTGTTTTATACTACTTCTGTGATATTACTACTATTTCTACTTCCTGTTATCTTTTTCGTCATCGTCTTTTTCGCCAGTAGAAACAGCCGGTTGTTGATCACGTGACTCCCGTGATGCGAAAAAAGTGTTTCCATTGCAGTTTTGCGAAAAACACCAATTTCGATACGACCGAAAAACCACCTCATCCTAGCGAAAAAATATTTTGATGAAAAACGTAATTTTTTTTAAATTGACGTGTTTCCATTGCGTAAATTAATTTTCGAAATTCTAATTTGCGCATTTTCATGGTCAATGGAAACGCAGCTATAGTGCACCATTTTTTTAAAATTTATTTATTGTTTTTTTGTGGGCTGCATCTTTTGGCTCCAAACAAGTGTTTTTATTAATTAGCGAACTAACTCACAGGCTGAAAACAGTCATTAATTAATAATTTTAATAATGACCGCTGAAGGGCTCAGCCTATCGTTGATGGTCTATAAATTTGTTTAATCATCCAACCTTAGTCTGGAACAGTGGTTTTAAAACGTTTTGATTCTGGCCCACAAAGTAACAGTTGCGGATGCTAATGAACCCAAATATTACTTGTTTACCTATGCAAACTTTACTAATAACTGTGTTAAACAAGGGAACAACAACAATAAAAATAAACCTAATAACTACAATACTAATTGTATTCATTTATGATTATTATTATTATTTTAAAAAAATTCAATAACCATAAATAAAATATTCCATTAACATTTTTTTTGGCATTTAAATTGATGTCTGGAAATCCTCTAGGGACCCTCATTTGATGTTTTGCGACACCAATCACTGGTCTAGAACATGCACCAAGTGTGCATTCACCAGAGGAGCTATAAGTTATCATATTGCTGATGGACCATAAGGAGGACAGCAGACAAAGGACACCAGTGGTGGGCACCAGCACGCTAAAGCGAGAATCCGCTAATTGCGGACCTAAATATTTCATTTGCGCTTTAGTGGTCTTACTAATTTTTATGATTCATAAGCAGATTTGCGCTTTCTAAAATTAAAATGCAGTACCGCTAATAACTAATTATCTACCAGTCATCATTATCTTGAACAGCAGAAGGTATGGCTGTTAATGAATCACAACACAGTGATCAATCCGAAAGCACCCCTCCCAGATAAAGACTGAGAAAGGTATACATCCTTGCAGACTGTTGCTTTCGGTCATGGTTCTCATTTTACAGACATTTCCCACAATGCTTTGTGTCTGCTTACATAGCAGGAAGGCAATGGTTAGAACTATGTGACCAGGCGAAAACGGTTAATGATCCATACTAAAATTTTGTATGTATTGATTTATTTTACTTTACAATCTGAGCTCCTTTAAAAAAAAAAAAATTAAAGTTTAAACGCTGGAGCTCAATACTTGAATTAATTGGTCGAAGCAATCGGGTTAGAGATGCAGAAACGATTTAAAGATATTATTTTGATGAAGACAGACATCTAGTGGTCAACTGGAGCAACTACATGGAAAACTTTGAAAATCCAAGCTCTTATTTTGAAGGGAAGATAGTTTCCTGTACTCCGTGCTTTCATTTCCCATCACAAATCAAATCCATCATGTACCCAGAATGCATCGCTTCAGTTTTCCAATAAACAGTTTTAAAATTACTTAGTTGATGCTTCTTTAATGAAAAATCTACAACAAACAAAAGAAAAAGACAAAGAAGCAGCCGAACTGGCAATCCTCAACAACTTTTTAATTTTTACACCAAGAGCCAAAATTCTGTTTCAGGAAATCACATCCCCAGCAATTGGCGTTTGTAGGATTAAGTTGTAAAAGAGTTCATACACCACTAGTTGGCAGTGTTGTGAAATATTGTACATGAATTGTTGCCAGCTGTTAAGTGTCAAATTGAACTTGTGCTTTAAAATTAGCTTCCGCTAGTTTTTCTATGGCATAAGTGCTTTTGAAGTTGCGGACCTAAATATTTTCATAAGGGCTTTAGAAATATCGGAGCTAATTTTTGGATTTACATTGCCCACCACTGCTCCTTACAGATCTACATAATCCTTTTTGCAAAAACAAACACATCCAGAATGAAGTTTATGAGACAAAAACTTCCATTGTACTTTTGGAACAGCAAGTGTTTACCAGTTCCTGTTTTTCTACGGCGTAAGCGCTTTAAAAATTGCAGAGCTAATTTTTGGATTAGTGCTGCCCACCACTGAAGGACACCTTGTAGACCTTGATCTGATGGGGACCCACATTGTGGGGTTTGTGTTTGCTTTGCAGCAGAGGCCAATATGAAGTACTGATGTGATAGACACAGACACCTGTGATTCTTCTTTGAACAAATATTTTTAAGAATAATCACTGTTTTGTCATTTGCAATTTTGGGAAATTATACCATTTTAGTTTAGAAAGCACTTAAAACAGCACAAGGCCAACCAATAACCAATAAAACATAGAGGACATCAAGTAAACTGAGTTTAAAAATACTAACCATTTTGAAATGATTGCAAACAGTTGAAAAGAACAGAGCTGTAATACACAGTGAGTCAAAGGCACAGGAATAATTGGGTTTTTAAATGAGGCCTAAAGAAAGAGAGACTAACATGTTTTGGTAATATTTCCACACTTTAGGGCCTGCAACAGACAGGATCTATCACCTCTCAGTTTGACTCGTGAGTTTGGGAACATCAAAAGCAGCTGAAAAATACTATAATTTGTATAAATCCTGTGAAGTTGTTTTTGTATTTTTTCCAGCACGTTTAGTGCTTCATACCTTCTTTAAAGACCAGCTTGCCCCGGTCATCAGAGGAGTAGCAGCCGATGTACTCCTGGATGTCAGTGTGCTCGTGGTTATTGATCCTCACACACTGGTTTCCTGTGGCTGCAGCCAGCCAGCAGATCAGGCTGGTTTTCCCAACAGATGTCTCTCCCTGGATCAGCACCGGATGATTCCTGTCAGGTCCAAACATGAGAGGGGTGAACGGGAGGACATTCTATTGATCAGTCATTAGTTCAGTGTCCTGCATTTGTAAACAGACTGTCCCAAACTAACTTCAATGGATATTGATGACAGCTACTAATTATTGCAGAGTCAGCTGCAACAAACACCTATAACTTCTACATCGCTACACAGGATTCTATGACCTATATTTTATCAATGTGATCAACATTTTCCTCAAAAACCTGTTGTATATCATGTGAGACCTGTATTCTGCCCTCTAGAGGATTAACAATGTGCTGCAGGAAGTGGAACTTCTTATTTTTGCCTTTTCAAAATGTCTGCTGACATGAGGTCATCCACACATGTTTTTCAGGAAAACTTCTGCTAATTTTGGAGAAGTTATGGTAAGAATAACATCAACATTGTTTGTATTTTTTTAATAAATACTTTCTGTGTTGAAACAGTGCATAATTATTTAAAAATATTTTTAATAGTACAGTTTAAACCATGTTAAAAATGTGTGTATCAAACTTGATACTGCAGGTGCTCCAGTCCTGAATTGTCACGTGACATTTTGGTAATTTTAGTAATTTAATCAACAGTATTATTGCCACAATACAACACGCACTATTTTGGATGATTGATTAATTACTGAAATGCCATTTGAAAACACATTTTGGCTATTTTCAAAAGTGGTTTCCTTTGTAATTATAATCTCTACGCTTTACTGACTAAATATTTACATGTTAGATGTCAAAGAAAATTGAGGAAGAAGAGAGAAAAAAGAAAGTAAAAAAATGTCATCAATATGATAATTGATGGCATTTTTTTAAATAAAGTGTAAGGTACATCAGTGCCTGAACAAGGACAGAAACTGTATTTGTGCCTACCACCAAGTGAAATAAATGGCTGTAAAAAGTTCATTGTAAAAAAAAAAAAAAACAAAGAAGTAAACTTCCTACAGTGTTCTAAATTTGTTAAAAGTTACTGTCTTTTGTTTCTTAATTTAACTTTGTTGCGAGTAAAATGTTACCAAAACAGCCCAGTGTATCAGATTTGATACAAAAAATACATCATAAACAAAGTGATGTGGCAACAAAAATTTGGGATTTTGTTTAAAGGCCCAATTAACATGTCAGTTCTAAAAAAAATGTGAATTTTCTGACTATTTTTTAAAGGGTTAGACTTTAAAAATTATGCTTATAATTTATATTAATTAAAAAAATTATATTACCTATTTTTATGCTGTTATTAATAAGCATTTTATTATGCTTATTAATAACAGCATAAATATAGGTAATGTGACTGCAGCAGTGATGTAAGTGTGTCATAGATAAAGTACCCAGACAGTACTCCTCTGAGGTGCTTTGTGACCATCTGACCCATCAGTTGACATTATGCAGCAGCAATCCAGTTACGCCTTCTAGCTTTAGCAACCAAACAACAACCTAAAAAAATGTCTCTTAGCACCAGACGTCAGCCATTTTCAAAGAAATGACAAATTTTGGCGATTCCCACATCACGTCAAACATTATTTCATCCATAATTATGAGCATTCCAATATCAAACTGAGACCAAAGCTTCTTGACAAGATGATGCTCAAAAGTTCAACAGTTGTTGGTTAATCTCAAGGGTGTGAGCGTCGGACATGTTTCAATCCACCCATTCTGATATCAAACAGAGTTGGTGGTAACATTCCAGTAAATTGTCCCAACTGTGCAAAAATGTCCTGATTTTTTATTGTGAATCAAGGAGGTTCTACAGAACAACTGGAGTGAGTAGAAACCAGGTGACCGTGTGATCGGCTGGAGAAGCTAACAGCTAACGCTAACCAAGAGTCTGGATTTCCCATTACTGTACATGTTGACAACAGAGCAGAAAAAAAGGACTGACGATGTAGAAATCATTAAAACTATTAATAATAATATTAACACAATTATTATTAATATTTTACAGTTTATATAATCTAATGTTTTAAATAACGTCAGAAAAGCTGTATTATGGATTTATTAACAGGAAAACGTCTCATTTCACAACACAAGTCAGCAGATTTGATCTTAATTAGCTCAATGTGATCTGAGCAGAACATAATGTAACAGTTTAAAATTAAAATAATCTTATAAAGTTGATGTAATCACTGTTATTTATTGAACTGGTTAACAGATATTAGCTTGTGCAGCATATATACAGAGTTTAGCACTGTTGAATCATGTTACAATTTAACACAAACTTAAATATTACTTTGTCCTCTGATTAATATTTAGACCTACAGAGTGTAAACTAATATTATAAATGTCTGATTAATATTTAGACTTACAGAGTGTAAAATAATATTATAAATGTCTGATTAATATTTAGACCTACAGAGTGTAAAATAGTATTATAAATGTCTGATTAATATTTAGACTTACAGAGTGTAAAATAATATTATAAATTTATCTGATTAATAGTTAGACCTACAGAGTGTAAAATAATATTAAATGTCTGATTAATATTCAGACTTACAAAGTGTAAAATAATATTATAAATGTCTGATTAATATTTAGACCTACAGAGTGTAAAATAATATTAAATGTCTGATTAATATTCAGACTTACAAAGTGTAAAATAATATTATAAATGTCTGATTAATATTTAGACCTACAGAGTGTAAAATAATATTAAATGTCTGATTAATATTCAGACTTACAAAGTGTAAAATAATATTATAAATGTATTTGATTAATAGTTAGACCTACAGAGTGTAAAATAATATTAAATGTCTGAGATTAATAGTTAGACCTACAGAGTGTAAAAT